TTGCAGGGGATGAGTTATGGGTGAGGTTAAGCACTTAGGTGTTTGGTGCTCAAGCTATTTTGGGAGGTATCTATGGAAAAGAATCATCTGTCTGGACACTAGAAGCAGAGTTTTTGATCGGCTACAAATTGCTCCTGAAAAACTGGCAAAGCTTCTTCCACTGTAGCTTCACTGGACACCTGTATAGTAATGCTCAGTCTCATTTCAACCTTCAGCACATAAAGACCCTCTCATCCTAGGGAGATGGCCAGATTAGTGATCCGCACGGCTGTGATGGAAAAGGCCTGTATCTTTAAAGACGGTTTGGCTATCCGGAAATAGCATGGGAGCATGGGCTGGAGAGGGAGAGCGGAGGGAGACAGTGAAAACATCCACTGATCTTAATCTGCTCTGAGAATTTCATAAGCCCCTTTCATTAAAGTCTCTTTGGGCCTGACTATGAGCATGGATTTGGGAAGATAGAGTCAGAACCCTTCTCTTCTCTGACCATTATCTCCTTGATTATGAAAATGATTTAAAATGGTTACCTACCAGGCAGGTATTGGTATATGAAAAATGATCGTACTAGTTTAGTGTGTTGGCAAAGTCTTAATCTATGAAGCTAGGATTTTGGTGGACAATAAATTTATTTTAAAATATTTTTAGTGCCGGGACCGGTTTGGCTCAATGGATAGAGCGTCGGCTTGGGGACTGAAGGGTCCCGGGTTCGATTCCGGTCAAGGGCATGTACCTTGGTTGCGGGCACATCCCCAGTAGGGGGTGTGCAAGAGGCAGCTGATCGATGACTCTCTCTCGTCGATGTTTCTAACTCTCTATCCCTCTCCCTTCCTCTCTGTACAAAATCAATAAAATATATTTAAAAAAAAAAAAAAAATATTTTTAGTAATTATTATTATTCTTAGAGGGGGGGCAGGGAAAGAGAAAGAGAAACATCAAAATGAGAGTGGAACATCCATCAACTGCATCCTGCATGCCCCCTACCAAGAATGTGCCCTGACCGGGAATCCAACCAGCACTGGGGCACTGGATGATGCCCAACCAACTGAGCCACACTGGCCAGGCCAGTGCAAGAGCCCCTAACTTCCCATCTCAAAGAATAGTTTATAGACATTTTTTCAAAGCACTGATTATTTTTAAAAGACAAATTCATTATTTTGGAAGATTTAAGAAATATAGTGACCCTAGTTAATTTAATAATAATAAAAAAAAAGAACAAAAACAAAAACAAAACATGAAGAAAAAAACCCCAACAAAACCAACCACACCCATAACCACCATCATAGGGCTTGAAATCAAAATTATATACATGCTTACAGTTTTATTCAGACAAAAATTAAATCTAACCAGAATACCAAACTCTAGGCATTCGCTTTAACAAGTCTGTCCTAATGTGTGAAATTATGCTTGTGAAACTATTTAGTTCACAAATGTGATACCTTGTTTTCCTTTTTAGGAACGATGATGATGAGGCACAGGCTTTCTAATCTATTTGAAACTTAAAAATTTGACACTATATTCATAGTAAGAACAATACAAAATTATTAGCAACCTTTAAAACTATGAGGTGAAATAGTAGATACTTCTGGAAAGTTTATTCTTCTATGTTTTGGAGGTGGGTAAATATATCAGTATTCTACTTTTCCATGTATTAATGTTCTGCTTTTCATGTACTAGTGGAGTGTTCTGGGAAAGCCTCTTCCCTTCCTCTTCTTCATGGTTACAGAAGAGAATGGCTAAGAGACATGCCAGTGCCAGGACCCAAGACACAGACCAGGTGGTCTTGTAAGTATCCACTTGGAAACTAAAAACTAGGACCTTACCCAGTCCTTGGCCCAATACTAATATTTGAGCCCCTTTTATTTCCTGTTTCCTCACTTGTTCCCTTCCTATCCAAAGTATTCAGTAAAATTATTGCTTTTGCTGAATGATATTGTTTAATAATGAGCAAAGCAATTGCTGGTAAGGACTTGTGATATAACTCTTCCTGGGGATTGTTTTTGAACTTTGCAGGATTCTAGGCTCCTAAAAAGTTGCAAAAACAGTTCAGAGAGGTTCCTGCATCCTTCATCTACCTTCTCCTAAGGGTAAAATCTTACGTAGCCACAGTACATTTTCAAATCTGCAAATTAACATTGACACAATTCAGTTAATTAGGCTATAGAGGAATTTTTTAAGAATGAAAAATCCTCAAGGTTAAAAGAAAACCTTTTCTGAATCTTAATGTTGCCACTCAGTGTGCGCTTGTCTCACTGTTTGGGAATCCTAGATGAACATTCTGTTTTCTCCACTCTCCCCCTTTAGCGATCACCCCTTGGTCCTATTGCTTATTGGAGTACCTGGCATTCAATAACTTTTTTGGTTAAAAGGGTGACTAATAATTGCTCAAGTCTATAAAGGGCTTTCTGTTTTTAAGGCCCTTTAGTACACATTATTTCTACTGAGAATGTTCATGGACTCAGAGGAAAAGCATGGACATCGAAAGCATTCAAACCTTGGCATTTATTAGCTTGAGTCTTCTGAGAAGGTACCGAATGTCTTTGGGCTTGTCTTCCTGCGCTTAATTGTATCTATATAATCTCGTCGTTTTGAAGATTCAGGGAGGTAACTGATGTAATAAAAAACCAAACATAGGAGATCTAGGAGACAGATAGGGTAAAAGATTTTACTGCCCTTTTACAAAACAAGGCTCAGAGTGGGTAAATCGTTGTCAAAGATCAGCACCTTAGGTAAGCAGTCATCCATGACAACTGTTCCTAGGCAACAGGAAAGTGGATTAAAAAACAAACACATAAACATAATTACAACCACCACCACCATGGGATTACAGAAACTTAAGACTTTTCTTATATCACTGTTGACTTCTTTTGCTATATGTGTAAGAAATCTTCTGTTAGGTGGTATTGGGTGATGAGATAAATTAAAAGGTGAATCATGGGTGTGGGTTGCCATTTTGTGGTTAAATGTGCCTCCACTCCACCTACCCAGTTGACACCAATATAGCCAGAAATTTTGCTTGCCAAACTGGGCATCAGATGTTTGTGCCCTCATTCTCCATGGAAAGCACACAGAAGGATGAGCACATGGAGCTCTCAAGTACTCACATTGCATTACAAAAACATTGTAAATCAGAAGAACTTAAATTTTAAAAGTTGTAAGGTTTTGACATCATTATTAACTATTTTTATCCCCCCACCCTCGCTTTGTAACAAAAAAAACAAAAACCCTTTTATTTTTTTCCTGGTCCAAGATCTAATCTGATACATTTAATTTTTTAATTATGTTTGTTCCTTAGTATCCTTTTTAACTTCTTTTTAAAAAATTAATTCAATTTATTGGCCATTACAGTGAGATATTAGTTTGCAAAACCATACACGTTTCAAGTGTTCAACTCAACAAAACATCATCTGCATACTGTGTCATGCGTCCATTGCCCAAAGCAAAACCTTTTCCTGTCCCCTTTCCCCCATCCCCCTTTGCCCCTCCTCTACTTAGCCCCCAACCTCCTAATAACCATTTTCTATTTCTGGTCATCAAAATAATTTTTTATTAACAAAAGACAACATGTAAGCATAGAGCCTTTTTTACTAACCTGAAATGATGGTAGCACATTAGCCAAAGTTACTTCTCAACTTGCCCTGAACATCTTTTACATATATACTGGTGAATTTCTCATGCCTATTTTGGAAGTACACCTCTGGCTTCTGTGACCTATTCATTTTATTGAAATGGAAATGGAGATGGCAGAGTATGCTATTGTTTAATGAGGAAGTTGGTGGCAAATCTCAAAAACTCCAATAGTTTAAGCACTTGCGTTATAATTAGAAACAGAAACATTCAGTTTCTGGTAGGGGTTTGCAATTTCACTCCTCTCCTCCACCCAGTTAGAAAATGGAAATGTCAGTAATCAAGATAACACATGGAGACAGCAAAGAACTGGAATGCTTCTCCAGGATTCTGAGTAATTTTTATGTTGATGCTCTCACCTTTGACCATCACAGTGATATATACCAGAGGTCAGAAGGCAAGAAGGAAAGACAGGGGGGAAAAATCATTGTGGTGGGGCACATGGGAGAATTTGTATTAAAATGTACTCAATAGAATATCTTCATGTAAACAAACTTTTAAGAGAGAGAGGAATATAACTCTTGGGAATACTCAGTTTGTTAGAGCTTAATCATTTCCAGCATCAAAAGGTATTAAAGGTACCCAGAAAGTTTTCTAATTCGCTTTGACTTTGTCATAATTTATTACCCATGAAACAAAAACATTTGATTTCTACTGACATAATTAACCTAGGCTTTAATGCAGAACGACTCTTTCCCTTGATGAAAGAAAATTATTCTGAAAAATAAACGACAGCACACAGAGACAGCAAAAACTGTCACTGTACCAAAAGTCAGATGTCCATCGGGACTCCTCCTGTGTGTGTGTGTGTGTGTGTGTGTGTGTGTGTGTGTACACGCGCCTTTCCTGGCTTTGCACTTTCCCTTATTTTTTCTTTTAAGGAACAGCGAGGCACCTTGCGAACTAAAAAAGGAGTTTTCTGAACGCATATCCCTTTGAGGAGGCAAATCTATGTTATCAAATCACAAAGGACTAGGACAGGAAATGTTACAACTACATAGAAACTGGAACACATGTAAAGACTTCCCGGGATATTTCAATGGGCATATTCCTTGAACCCAATCTCTTTAAAGTCTACTCCTCTTGAAATATTACAAAATTACTTATAAAATATTGTTAATACCAGTTAGACAAATTTGGTTGCTATGAAAAATAGGGTTTCTATGGCATGCTGGTCTTGCCTAACTACTGACTGACAATATATTCCAGTTTTTAATAGAAATAACAGACATGTATTAAGAATAATTCTGAGGTGAGATTACAATTTTGTCAGAAAAAAAGCATTGTCATCTAAAAGCATAAACGTAAGTAACACACAATCATACTTATGATAATTTCATAAAAGGCATATGGAATGCAATCCTGAGTATACTTACAATATTTTCCAAAAATCAAGATGTAGAAGAAGATGGGACCAGATGTCATCTCTTTCTTTCTGAGCAACTGATTAAGAAAAGTGAATACAATTTAGTCTTGGTTTCTGAGTCTCATACAGCTCACGGTGGTTGTGTGCTATTTCTGTCTGCAATCTTAGCAGCTATAAAGCAGTCCTCTTTCCTTTCTCTCCCATTTCCTCTCCCTCTCTCTTTCCATTCCCTCTTCTTTTCTTTTCTCCTTCCTCTCTCTCCCTCTCTCTCCTCCTACCCCCCCCCCCGAATCTCTTCTTCCCACCCTCCTCTCTAAAAGTCTTAATATCCTTCTTACACATACACCCCAACGCCCACACAAACACTGATAAAGCTTAGCAGCGAGGAAAAGTTTCAGACAGAACATACAGGCTTTTGACTGCTAAACATCTTGTTTCCATGTCCTGCGACGTCTACAAATGAGGGTGTGCACAAACCCTGACAAATGTCGGAACTGATCAAAGTCACACCACAGGAAAGAAATTGAGCTGGAGATATATTACAAACAAACAAAAGAAAATCTCTACCGCCTCTATGATTTGATACTAGCAAAAGAACAGAACAACAACAACAAAATCAGGGCAAAATGCCTTTGTGGAAGGAAGGTAATAATTAAAGTGTAACTACGTCATTCTTCTATGATCTGAGTTTAGACATTTGAGTGCTATTGTTCTAATAAAGTACAAAGGAATAAAAAACAATCTTAAATTTCCTTGGGCTCGTGAGTTCTACTGCAAGTGGAGACCACGACCTTCCATGGTTGTGGGGGGAGCCTTCCTGGGTTTGAATCACAGTCTGTTCCACCAGGCAGCTGAGCTCTGGAGTTCTGGAGGGAAATCTCTCTCCATCCAGGCAGCTGTGATCATCAGCCTGGTGCATACTGAATGCCTGGCAAAGGTCCTCGCATATAATAGGTGATTAGTAAAGGGCAGCCATTCATAGGGTAATGGCTTTTTATTATTTTTATCAGCAAGTAAAAGAGCATGGAATGCAAATAACATTTCCATGGAATGCATTTTCTTTTAACCAAGGCACATCATTCTTATTTTGAGAGATTTGTTTGTGAGGATAATGTCTCCTAACCACTCTACAAGTAGAATCTTTTCAAATGACATATCCTTATATCGTTTACTTCAACCTAAGCAGCCTCTTGGTGGCTTAAAGGTTATATTAATATGATTCCTCCCCACCCACCCACCCCGTGGAAGTAATTAATAGCATAGATACAGAAATGATATATAGGAATCTCCACAAGTTCTTATTCATTGATCAGTAGATTTATTTCTTGATGACACTGGGTGTTTTTTTTTGGCAGAAATATTTATGGTTAGTTGAGTTTAAATGCTCATTTGGTGTTTATAATAAGCGTTCATTAAGTGTTTCTTATTTATAATAATACTTGAAACATCTTAAGTGGTTTGTTACTTTTTATTTTAGAAATAGGGTTTCCTGGAAAGATACTTGGGATGTGTCAAGGCCAATATCTGGAGGGAGACAGTTAAGAAGCTTCTAAGCTGAGGAACTTGCTTTGGGAATTGTTTGGGATACAGAGTTTTCAAAGAAACACTGATTCTATTTTGCTAGTTTTGAACATTTTGCCTGAGCTGATATCACAGATGTATACTTTAGTGGTCTAGTAGCCAGGCAGGGCTCTTTAACAATATATATATACATACAATGCATTTTTAATATCAAATTATAATTGTGAAACTTCAAAATAATTTCTCATTTCACTAAGATTGTATTAGATTTTGCTAAAATCTAAATATTTATTTAAAGGAACAACTTTAGATTTTAATTTTTTAGGATACCACTTATTTTTGGCAAGTACAATAAGCCTGGAATATTAGTTTCATAGAGGTATCTTGGTGGAAAACACCCAGGAGTGAATGTACAGTACCTCTGCTATAAATCACAGCAGGTACATTAGTTGGACAAGAGGATTTTTTGAAAGTAATTTTTTATTTTTCAATTACAGTTGACATATTAGTTTCAGATGCACAACATAGTGATTGATATACCCAGTTCCCATCTGACATCAAAAATAGTTATGAGGATTTTTATTTATTTTTTTATTGTGCAATGCTGTCCTTTGTATTAAAAGATATTTACCAGCACCTCTGGCCTCTATCCACTAGGTGTCGACAGCACTCCCTACTTGTGGCAATTAAAAAAAATCTTCAGATTTTGATAAATGTCCCTTGGGGGCCAAACTTGCTCCCAACTGAGAATAACTGTGAATGAAAGAATTCCCACAATGTCTAAGTATTGATTTTTAGCAGATAATTAAATAGAATTGTTCTCACCTAAATTTGAGTGAAAGTGCTTTCTTATCTTCTTGTTCTGGAGTGTGAGGTGATACTTTTGTTTTTAAAACAAACAGATGGTACATGTTCCTAGCCTTCTCCTCCTGCCTACACTGTTCAATTACAAACTTGCTCTCTGGCCCTGATAGAATCTGTGATGTCATTGCCTCTGTTTGGCTGAGGGACTCCCCTTTCTTATCTTGGAATCCCTTCCAAAACCTTGCTGCAGCTCTGAATAATAATAAAACCTTCTATTTGAAAATTATTTCTCAAAAAAAACAACAACTAGTGAGTCAAACCAGACAAATATTAACCTGTCTGTACTACCTAGATTCAAATTTCTAATGTATTTTTCCCATCACACTACCACTGAAAAATATTATATTACTATGCTCTTCAATATGATATTTTAACATATGGGTGTTCATTCATGCTTCTGAACCTATTTGCAACCATTATTTTCAACAGTAGAAACAGCCATTTTATTAAATAGTTGTTTGATTGTAGACCTGGGAAAATCTCAGTGAAAGAGGTTGATAAAATCTTTGTCAGAGTATCATAATATAGAGATATTAATAAATTAAACCAATTTATAAATTAAGAATCAGTGCAATTTAAGAGCTAAAATACATGCAGTCAAACTAGCCAGCCTATGGACCCATTTCTAATTGACAGCTGTCAGTCAGGCAACACTCTAGAGATACCTATCATCTCTAAGTCACACCAAAAGATGATGCTTTGTCTCAACTTAGCATTAACTAAACAATTCTGAAATGAACAAGTACAGGCATTGCAAAAGATACTTCAGACAAAATCTAAACAATTTTGTCCTAGGTAGAAGTGATCAGAGTTATTATATCATTTTAGCAGAAAATGTGGAACCAAATCCCATGGGGTTTCATGTGTTGCCTTTGAGGGATATAATAGAGAGACATAACAGAATTGTGATCCTCTGCAAAATTCATTGTGTGAAATTAAGGACAGCTAATAAGTTCAGATCTCTCTCTCTCTCATCTGTCTCCATTTATCTATTTACCTACCTATCTATCTAATCATGTTATGCAGAAAAGCCAGTTGACTGCATTTGTTAAGTGCAAACTGTACAGAGCTTAGTACTATTAACCTTGCATTACTTAATTTCCTCAAACCGCTGTAATTAAAGACATTCAAGTTTCAGGCTCATTCTATCTAGATAGAGACTCCCTAGTTAAGACTGACACTATAAAAGCAGTAATATAGTCAGAGACTGAGCCAGTGGATGGGATCAGGAAACTAAATTTGCTGTTTCATGTCATCAACTGTGTGCTCTCCGAGGAGCCATCTTCCTTCTTTCCCCACAACCCACTGTGCATGCTCAGTCATTATGGTTAGGCTTCAGCCCCCTCAGACATCTGGAGTGCACGTCAGCTCCCTGTTGTGCTAGGAGCCTTGCCTCTAACCCCAGCCCACTTGCCTATGATTTAGTTGCCACGGAGCCAACTCTGCAGGAAACATAGTGCTTGTAGCCCAAGTGTTTTCCCCTTTAGGCACTCTCAGACTGCTGCTGGTGCCTCTGCGTGGCTCACTCATGAGACAGCCTGACCTAGGGAAGGGACATCTCCTACATATTGGAAGGAAGAATAAATTAGAATGGTAAAGGTGGCCTTTGCCAGTCAAAGTAGTAAATGATGGAGAATTCTAGTCCTGCTTTTGCCACTGGTTATACATATAACCTCTGATAAGTCACTTATATGCTTTGGTTCTCAGCTGCCTTTTCTTTACTGTCTTTGAAATCTGGTATGTATTTACACAGGCAGCACATCTCAGTTTGAGCAAGCCACATTTCAAGTGCACAGTAGCCATGATTTTGAACAGTGCAGCTAGAGAAGGGTGAAAAGGGTGTCTTTAAGATTCCACCAGGGTGCATTTTGTTATATTAAAATCAATAATAGGATATTAAACACATAAAGTTAGTTCTTCAGTAGTTTTTCGATTTGATGATCAAACAAAAAGGACTGTTTCAAATTAAGTAAAATTCTAATTAACAACAGTGGGGCCAACATAGGATTACCAAACTTAATTTTATCAAGTAAAAAAACCATACGGCAGGAAAATGGTAACCTGGCAAATTGTATACGAGAAGGGCTGCAGATCATATCTGCTTATATTTCATTGGCCTAGCTTCAAAATGGTAAAGGAAGGGCAATCTAACTCCATGGCTGGAAGGAGGAGAGCAGAAATATTTTGATGAACAGCTCAAATGACAACTTCAATCTCCCCTTCTGAGACGTGTAGACACAATATACTAATTTCTTTCCTAAGGGAGATACTCCAGAAGTTACATCTCTTACTTATGACAACCCACTTCCCATTTTTGTATTAGGACTCACTGGGATGTAAGTGGCAGAACTCCAATGCAGCTGAGATCGAGTCTCGTCATCTCATCTCTCTCACTCTAGCTTTTTCAGTCCTTGTTTCTCCTTCTTTGCTTTATTAGTTGAGACAGACTTTCTCTATACTCTTGACCTAATGGCTACTATTAACCTCAGGTTTTTATCTTTTCAGATCCATGATCCTCAAAACAAGGGAACACCTGTTACTCTAATTAAATAGTTATGCTTAGATCTCTGATTTTAGATTATACATTTGCCCCTGAAATAAGCATTGGACCTAGGGTACCAGGGCCTAATAACGGTCTGAGACTTGATTATGTATTTATCTTGATGATTAGAAGATCATATAGGATACATCATCAGAAACTGGAGCATGGGTAGGATTGGTGGGCAGGTCCACAGTATCACAAGAATGCTAGTAAGTATAATTAATGGAAATAATATCAAGGCTGAAAATGCTTAGACCATGTTTAGAATTAGTGGGTATTGGTAAGAGAAGAAGGGGGCAGGAAACAGAGTTGAGGATTGAGCAAAAGAAAGATTGACAAAGGAGAAGACAGATGGTGAATAAATTGATCACTAACTAATATAAGTTGAATGAGAATATTGTCAGGCTTTATAAAGTGGTGAATGGGCATTTGTGAAGAATCTGAAAAGTCACTGCTATCATAA